TCTGCCCTGGGCAGCTTGTTCCAATGTCTCATCACTCTTTAAGTATAGAGTTTTTTCCTAATATCCAATCTAAACCTCCCCTGGCACAATTTAAGCCCATTTCCTGTTGTCCTATTGCTTGCAACTTGTGAGAAGAGCCTGATCCCACCTCGTTACAACCTCCTGGATTTCAGGGAGCTGCAGAGAGCGATGAGGTCTCCCCTCAGGCTCCTCTTCTCCAGCTGAACAGCTCCCTCAGCTGCTTCTCCCCACACTTGTTCTCCAGACCCTTCCCCAGCTCCATTGCCCTTCTCTGGACCCGCTCCAGCACCTCCGTGTCCTTCTTGTAGTGAGGGACCCAAAACTGAGCACAGTGCTCAAGCTGTGGCCTCACCAGTGCTGAGCACATGTTCAGATCTTTGCACCCCCCAGAAAAATACACACATTCCTGCCAAGCCTTGCAGTGCAAAAGCAATGCCTCGCTCTTCTTTCTCTGTGTTTTTCCATGGCAAAACTTTGGGGAGGGAGGGTTGCAGAAGGGAGGTAGGTGCAGTGTCCCCAGGCTCAGCATGCACCAGCACAGGTGGATGTTGAACCTACCTTTCGGCCATGCAAGAGCACACTTAAATACACATAATTTATCAAACATCAGCAGCAGGTTCCCAATAAACCCTTTTAAAGATGCATACATTTTATTTTCCCCATGTTATGGATAGGGCAACTAAAACAAACAGGCAAAACAGAGAAAGCTAAAGCAAGGGCTCTTGTTTATGGAGTGTTTTGCTGAAATATTGTCCCATGGTGCCAGTGGAAAATGATCCAGCAATGATCCAAGCACAGATCGTGCCTGACAAAGCTGTTTCAGCTCCCTGCATGTCAGCTAATTATCTGGGACACATTCAAACACACAGGAAGGGCCAAGACTAATTGTCTCGCCTTTCTTTGCTGCTGGGAGGGGTTCCTCCTCTCTGGTGCCATCAAACACTGAAAACTCACGTACATAAAATGAAAATTATTAGTAAAAAGTAAAGAGAAACTTCCCAAAAAAGCTATCCCAAAGCAAAACATTCTCCTGCATGGAAGGAGATTCTTCCCTGGCAGAAGATGAAGGGTAGAGAGAGGGCAAAGGAGGAGCACGAGCAGTTTGTTTGACTGTTTGAGACATGACCAGTACATAGAGACTGTACTGGAATGCTGAGTAGGAAGACCCAGAAGATGATCCTCCCATTTGTGACCTGTCAGGTAAGGGGAGGGAATATGCTCTGCTCTCTGGGGACCAGTGTGTCCTCCCCACCATCCACACGGCTCTGCTGTGTGGACCAGCTTCTCCAACCTCCTTCAGCCACTGCAGTTTGTTGGTGTGGATTTATCTAAATCACATCAAATGTCTGTCACTGTGTGGTGAATACCCAGCTCTCTAGTGCAGGGGTGGAGCTTGGGGACCTGTCTGCAGAGCAGCTGACATTTATCTTGGGCAAAAAATGACTGAGGGAGATATGGTAAAAGGCTTCCAGCAAAAGCAAAACAAACAAAAGGAAGAATAATGTGATTTCTGAATTCACTTTCTGTCAGAGAGTGAGAACTTCTGCCCTTTCGGCCAGAACACAGAATCACAGAATGCTGGGGTTGGAAGGGACCCCTAGAGATTCCCCAGTGCCACCCCCTGCCAGGGCAGCCCCACAGGAACGCGTCCAGGCGGGTTGGAAAGTCTCCAGAGCAGGAGACTCCACACCCTCCCTGGGCAGCCTGGGCCAGGGCTCCGGCTCCCTCACAGTCAAGTTTTTTCTAAATTTTTGTGGATGAGTCTTTGGGATATGCAAGAGAAACTCCTCTTTGTCTCGGAAATGTTATCCCTGCCACTTCTGTTTTGGGATAGAAAAAAATGTGTCTGGTTCACTTCTTGAAGTGAACTTGGGCTGGAAGGACACGAAGCAGAGGTGAGAGGAGGTGAGGGGCTGGAAGAAAGGAAAGATGAGGCAGATCAACTGAGATCAGTTACTCTGTGGTTTCAGACCTCCATTTCTCCAAACCTACCAAGGGGCATGCCTGGAAAATCTCTTAATAACCAAGTGATATTTCTTGTGTTTTTTTTACAGCAGTGCTGCAGTTGCCGTGACATCAGCTTTTGGTAGTGACACAGGAAAAGGCTGTGACTGTGTTCCCAGCCAGTCCTTGCACAAAACACAGCAGAGCTGGCCCAGTCCCTCCAGTCTCACCCGTGTGACAGCTTGTGGCCCTATGGATTAAGTCCTTTCCTATGGGCTGCATCCCCTCATTTCACAGGCAGATGGATTTTCTGCCCAAATATACACCTGTGATGTTATGTGCAGTGGGATAAACTACCGGAAACAGTCGCTGCAAGAGCACAGAGCCATTAGGCAGCTGTTTTTTGGAGAAAACAATGTCTTTATTTACTTCTCAAAAGCAATAAAGCATCTTTTGCAAAATCAAAACAAGTACATTACCATTCATCCTCATTTCAAGAAGTATGGGAAAACACTCCAAACACATCACATGGGTGGCTGAATTTTGTTGTGATTGTATTCCAGTCCTGCCAGCTGTAAGACCTGTCTTCTGAGATGCTCTATTATGCTGCTGCTCCTGACAGGGAATTCTCTCTAGAGGTATTAAATTATGCCTTACTATATATATAAAACCAGGAGGAGCAGTACAGACTCAGTTAAAGAGTATTTTTAGCTTACGCTAAGATTTCAAGAGAACTGGTGTGGGATTTGTTTTTTTTCTGCTCCTGTTATTTTGGTAAGTGTAGAGATCAGGACATAAAAAATAATTATACCTGATAGTCCTCCAGTTAGCTTGCTCCCTAGACCAACATTAAACTTCAAATAAGAATTCTTTAAAAGGCTCTGGGATTCGATTAACTCATTATAGCTTTAAGCAGGAGTTTTTAAGGTTCCATTTCTAGGCAATATGTCACAGCAGTTAACAAGAGGATTTCGCTGTAGAAAAAGCTTGAATGCTTCTCTCATAAGCAGAAGACGTATGAACAGATTTTTCATTGCACAGACTCCATCAATTATCTTAGCACAGATATTTGACTGATTCTTTTTCTTAGCACCTGTGAAAACTGCAAGCAATGTCTACTATGAGATAAAATGTTTTATCTTCCATTGCACCCGGGGGCTCCACCTTCACGGTGGGTCTGCAGGAGGGAAGACTCAGGAGGAGAGGTGAACGTCTCCCGGTGTCTCAGGAAGAACAGGTATCACAGCTGTTTTCCGATTTTTACAATATATCCCTGTTTCCTAATGCCTTTTCCTACCAACTTTCACAAGAAGCAATGCTCCTCTCATGAAATCTATTTAGTTATTAGTCCGTGCTGCCGTTGTAGAAATTCCTCTCCTTTCTTTCCAAAGCAACACAGTGTGCTCGTTCATCAAAGGTCTGGGATGCTGTCTCAAGTCTGAGAGAGGCTGCTGTGAAAGCGAAGAACAACCTGGTAGCATGAGCTTCCTGCCATTTCAGGGCTGCAGGATGCAATATGTAGGGATTCTGGATTTTTTTATCATTTCTAAACCAGCTGTGAACCAAATCTGGGCTGCTGAGGTTGTAATTCCTAAGAAGCGAGAGGACACCAAGAGCAGCTCGCAGGGGTGAGCGCTGGACCAGCCTTGTGGTCACAGCTCCTCTGCTGACCACACTCCCTGGGTGTGGAGAACACCTTATCCCAGATTTCACCTTATTCTGTTTATGTCACGACGAGCATTGGAAATTGTGTTATTCTGTATATTGGAAAAGCACAACAAAGCCTCCTCCAGTCCTGCATCATCTCCTCTCTGTGCTGGCCCTCACTGATGCTGGGCTCTCTGCTGTGCCAGAGGTGCTGCCATCCTTGCTCGTGGCAAACACCCTGCGCCCACGTGTGTCTCAGCTCTTTCTTACCTGCTGCCTCACCTTCCTGGAGGCAGACGTGGTTTTTCCCATGCCCCTTGACAGGCTGGTGGCTCTGTGCCTGCCACAGAGCTGTATGACCATGACAACGGGTATAAGGGCAATCAAAATAGGGCTGACACACCCACGGGGGAGCATAGTCCTGATCATACCACTGTTCTCCACCTCCTCTGGCTGCCTGGTGACCAGGGAGCACCTTGTCCCATCCCCTTTGCCTCCATCCCACGGTGACCTGCCAGCCCCCCAGAGAGATGGTGTGCAGCAGAATCTGAAAAACGGTTAAACTTGTCATCTTTGCCTCAATGAATGAAAAACCAAGCCTGATCCACAGCCTTGCTCCAACCCATTATCATGGTGGGCTTTGTTTACCGGCTGATGTTGGGAACTGAATGGCCTCAGTCTGGAGAGAGGGGGTCTTTGGGCCTGTGGGTGCCTGGGCATGAGGGTCTGCTGCGTGGATCAGCATGATCAACCCATCTTGGGGAAGAAGTATCTGCTGTTAGCACGGCTGATACAGCTAGATGAGGTGGACATCTCCTGAACCTCCCACCAGTCACAGCTCAAAGGTTTTCTCCCGTACCCTTTCTCCAAGGACCGTGCACCCACAGCCCTGGAGCAGGGCAAGGCAGGTGCCAGCGTCCTGGGAATAGCAACGGCCGGGCTGGGAACTCTCTGCTCTGGATAGTGCTGGCTTCACCCTATTTCACATTCACGCAGAGCTGGGAGAGCAGATGTGGAGTCTTTGCCACCCCTCATCACTCCTATGACCCCCCCAGAACACTCCCAGGTGTCAGGGCCTTTCGCGTGGGTTTTCTCTCCACAGCCCCCGTGCGTGCACTGTCAGGGAGCGCTCATGAGAGAGCACTGCAGAGCTGAGGGAACTGCCTGCCACAGCCCTTGGGAACCAGAAATACACCCACGCACGGATGGCATCACAAGCTGCCCTGGGTCCCCCTCCTTCCCCAGCACAGAGACAGGGACACTGCAGTCGTGGTGCCGGAAGGTTTTTATTTGGTTTTAGGCTGTCAGCACCCAACGGGCATCTCCTCATGCTCAAGGTGCTCGTGGTGGAGCAGGGATTCTTCCTCACACGGTCAGACCTGGGGTGCTCAGTGGTACTTGCGGGCCAGGGCGTGAGCCACGACGCGCACCAGCTTTTGCCAGGCAAACTGGCAAGCGGGGGTGAAATCCCGGGTAAAGTGGGCAGCCAGGACGATGATTAGGATGTCTCCAAGGAGCTGGAGGAGAGAGAGGAGAACAGGCAGGGTTAGTGATGCTCAAACTGTTGTGTGCAGCAGACAAGGGAGAAGGGACTGGACATCCCTGAGCTGGGGCTGAGCTGTTGGACCCACAGCCTCTGGAAGAAGATACTGCTCTCTTGCTGCACACAAGCTCACCCTGTCCTGCCGTGTCTAAACAGTTTCTTCCTTTATCCGAGCTCTCTGTCTCTCTGGTTTTCCCACTGCAGCCTTCTCTCCAGTCCCTATCCTTCCTTCATCCTCCCCCCCCTACCCATGCAACCCATATATGTCCTTTCCCCTGACTTCTTCCCGATGGCGAGTTCCCCTCCTGGAACAACTCTCACACGCTGCATGCTCCTCCTTTTCCTCCTCAGACTCCCTTCCTCTTCGGATGGGCTGCAGGGCTGGTTATGGGCACTGGCTCACTCTGTGCTCCCTGGTACTAACAAAATCTTCAGTCTTTCCACAGAAACCTCTGCGTTTTGGGAAAACAGCATTTGCTTCATTTTTCAGGAAAAAAAGCAACAAAGAACCCACCAACCCACCCAAGCCCCTTGAAACTATATTCTCCCTTTTTTTTTTGGAGATGTTCAAGTAATTTGGCTTAAAGACCCAACCTGCAAAATGCTAAGTTTCTTTCTTTTCTCTTTAGATGTAAATAAAAAGAGTCATCCACACTCTTGCAAACAGTCCTACACAAGCCACCCTCTCACTTGGGTACTACACAGACACTCTGCCTCCACCACCCAAAGAAAGTACCATTAGACAGTGTTTCTGGTGGTAATATCCCATTTCAAAGCACAGCACAACAGAGGGAAGGGAGTGGGACAGCAAGCACAGCTCACCCTGAAGTTCTCGGGGTCCACGTGCAGCTTCTCACAGTGCAGCTCGGACAGCTTGGTGTAGGTCGACTTAATGTTGTCCAGGTTCTTGATGGCTTCCCCGAAGGAGGTGAGCACTTTCTTGCC